GATACCACTTTTAAGGTATCACTTGGATTTATAAATTACAAAGTAGTTCACACACACGAACACATATGTAACTCAGTCTAAGGATAAAACAAACACCATTTCACCCCCTCACACCTCCAAGAGAGCGGCCACTGCAGTCTGGCTGCATGCTCATAACTGCACCTCTGGCTCCCCCTCCCCCTCCGAGGGTCCCGGGCTGGAGCCGGGTGTCACATCCCCTTGCTTTGCAGCCACGGCTGCACCACATGTCTGTAACCTGAGTTAAACCGCGTGTGAATTATACTCACACTCTTCCCTGTCATTTCCCGTACCTTCCACATTATGGCTGACTACGTCCATCATGTAACTATGGTCCTTCAATCTCGCCGCTCTCCTCTGTCGACTGCATGCCACCCGTGTGTCAGCCCGTGTGCATCTGTGGGTACTGCCGCTTTAACCACTACAGAACACGCTGCAGACTCTCCTGGTGACCCAGGCGGCAGTCCCCCTGTCTGACACCGTGACGTAGGGGGGAGCTGTGACGTCTACATGGCACACTGGAGGGCGTGTAGGGTTACAGACAGGCCACCCAGGTGACCCACACACTCGGCCAGCTCGAGGAAAAAGGGACCAGTGAGACGAAGCCCCTCAGACCTCACAGCCAGAGCAGAGACCTGCTGGCAGAGTAAACGGAACTCAGGCCATGGGCATGTCACCGGCACCAGACAGCACCCAGTGTCTCCCAAAAGGATCAGAATGACGGGCACCCTGGTCATCACCATGTCAGCGTCCCCACCGCTCCGCAGCCTCCCACGCGATCCCTGTGAACTTGATTTCTAAGAAACGCCTCTGCATCTTAGTTCAGTTTCTCCACTACGAACGCAGCAGACCGTCTCCTGTTGATTATTTGACACAATGAAGAGACTCGTCCCTCGGCCTCTTTCTTCATGAGGAGCTTTGTTGTGTCTCCTGGACGGTGGCCTCTGTGCCGTTCCTGACTTCTCACTCTGTCCTGGGATCGCAGAACAAGCTTGTGAAGCTAACAGTTTGAAAGGTGTTGTCTACTTTCTGATCTAGCACAGGGTTAGTTTTTGCACATGCCCAGTGCTTATCTATATATATAAAACCCTAATATGCAAATAGACCAAGGGTGGAACAACCGGTCGCTATGACGTGCGCTGACCACCAGGGAGTGCACATAGAACATGGCGGATGTCGATCTTGTTGGGATGGCGGAAGGAACAGGTGAGCAGGGGCACCAGACCAACATGGGGTGCTGGCTGCTGTCATCGGGCGAGCCTCTGGTGGTTACTGGAAATGCTTTGCTCCTATGCCCTGTGGTCCCACCCAGCACTCACACCCACTACCAGCACTGGGTGCCAGTCCTGATAGCTTGGCACTGGCCCCACTCGCACCCACTGCTGGTGGCAGCCCCAGTGGCCGTGCCATCAGTGCGCGGGAACAGTGGCGGCGGCGGTGGCGGCAGTGGGAGCAGAGCTGCCAGCAAAAAGGAGACCGGGGGCCGCAGCCAGAGAGGCTGGGCAGGGGCACAGAGAATAGGCCAAGACCCACCCTTGCTCACCACAGCCTCACGGCCCACAGTTCCTTTCAAGGTGCACGTATTCGTGCACTGGGGCCCCAGTTTGAGAATAATATGCACTTCCCATTGTTGGGTGGCAGGCGCTACCATAACTGTCCACTAGGGTGTCTCCAGCCAGAGGTGGGAGACACCCAGCCTGGCCGCCCGGCTGCATCCTGTCCGGCTGCCTCCCCCGCAGCGGCAGGCAGTAGTTGAGACTGACCGAGTGCCTCACAGAGCACAAGGTGCTCACTCTCCGCTGGCGCTACAGAAAAGGTTTGCCAATCACGGCTGAGCTCCAAACGGGCTCCCTTTTTGTCATTTTGATGCCATTAATGCAAGTGTTTTAAAATCCTCTACGGCGATGACAATTTCTATTTATCTTTGTTACCTTATGTTGAGGCTAATGAGATGCAAACCGGTTTTGAATCACTCTGTTTTCCTGCTGTGTTTTCTTCTTTCATTAATGCACTGGTCCTTTTGTCCCTCATAATTATTTTTGCTTTGAAATCTGTTTGGATGATATTGTTATGTAACAATTTCTTTTCATCAATATTTCTTCTTTCCATTCTTTTTAAAAAAATATTTTATTGATTGTTTTTTGTTTGTTTGTTTGTTTGTTTTACAGAGAGGAAGGGAGAGAAATAGAGAGTCAGAAACATTGATGAGAGAGAAACATAGATCAGCTGCCTCCTGCACACCTCCCACTGGGGATGTGCCTAAAACCAAGGTACATGCCCTTGACTGGAATCAAACCTGGGACCCTTTAGTCCACAGGCTGACACTCTATCCACTGAGCCAAACCAGTTAGGGCTTCTTTCTATTCTTTTATGTATTACGTATTACATTTTGGGTGTGTCTCTCATTAAAAAACAAAAAACAAATAAAAACCCCCAGCATGCAGCTGGTTTGTTTTTCCATGGAATCTGACCATCTCCTTTTAGTTAGGAAGTTTGGTCCATTATTATACATGGTGATAGATATATTTGGTTTCATTTCCACCATCTTAGATGGTATTCTTTTTATACTATGTTTTATGTGACCCCTTTCTTTCCTGCCTTCTTTTGGATTAAGACTTTTAAATTCCAATTTTTACCTGTATGGATTTGAAGTTTCGGCCTTTTCATAATTTCCCCTGATAGTATAACATGGATTCTATAGCTCACAGTCAGAGCGGTCCGCAGCGGCTTCACCTCCTCCGGAGCAATGTAGAACATCCGCACCGGTAACGCCAGGCTTCGGTCCCTTCACTAACTCCTCCGCTGTTGGGTTTTGTTGTTTTAGTGGAGAAATGCAGCATCTGTTTTCAAAATAGCGCTTGAAACAATACAAGTGCAGGTGCTCTCGGACAAAGCAAACTCCCGTCACGAGACACTACACGCATCAGATGAGAAAAAGAGTCTGATACTCAGGTAATGAAACTAGGATTTAACAGTTCCCGGCTTAGTAAGACAATGTGTAAACACAGAGACAAGACTCAATGCGTGCCTGGCGATGTCCACCCGATGCCACAGCTGCTGCCAACACTGGGCACCGGGCACACCTGACTCAGGACTGCACAGGCGGTCGGGGACTGCACAGCTGGGCTGTGGGGAAGGCCCACTGTGTGCTGAAAAGAAGGCTCAGTTACCGCACACAAACTTCTCATGTGTGGAGATCAAGTGGCCACCCAAGACTAACATTTCATTGGCATTACTTTCAGTCAAGTTTTACTAAAGTATTAGCCCAAAAGAAGGGGATTACAGTCAACGGTGGGAAAATTAGCCCCAAGGATAGAGAAAGGGCTTATGGAATTGCAGTTTAATGTGGAAACTGCACCTGCGGTAGAGAGACGGATGAGACGGATGCAGGGAGAGGGGAGGAGACAGAGTGGACTAACGGAGAGCCTGGCAGGGTGCTGTGTTCAGGCTATGACGGCTTTCAGTCCCTGTGTCTGTTGTCATTCACGTTTCTGAACATGGATGTTCTGCGTAATCATGAGTGGTGTTTTCTTGAAAAGTATTCCTAGTAGCCGAAACCAGTTTGGCTCAATGGATAGAGCGTCAGCTTGGGGACTGAAAGGTCCGGGGTTCGATTCCGGTCAAGGGCATGTACCTTGGTTGCGGGCATATCCCAGTAGGAGGTGTGCAAGAGGCAGCTGATCGATGACTCTCTCTCATCGATGTTTCTAACTCTCTATCACTCCCTTCCTCTCTGTACAAAATCAATAAAATATATTTTTAAAAAAAAATTTTTTTTAAAGAAAAGTATTCCTAGTAGTTTGTCGGATAAAACAAAAGAGTAGAAAGCCAACTAGATGTCAAGGCCTTGCTAGAAATTATTATTTTTTAGATGTAAAATTTACTGATGAATTTTAGTAAACAAAAACTGGCATAAAATTCTTGGAGAAAAGCTCTTTCTGCTTACCTGTTTAAACTGGACGTGAATGCCCCACACACAGGTATTCTGGGAAGTACACAAACTTCTCCTGTGTGGAGATCAAGTGGCCACCCGAGACTAACATTTCACTGGCATTACTTTCAGTCAAGTGTTACCGAAGTATTAGCCCTGGCACCAAAATGTCCTGTTTTGTGCCTCGCGGCCACAGACTTGATTTCATATCATGTTAAGAAAATACTAGCATTCTGGGTTTTCTGTGAAACAACATACAAGCACGCCTGTGCATACAAGCAAAGCAAAGCAGCGGGAGACACAAGGCTACCTTGTCATAAGACAAACGATTAAGGACAACAGAACACGGAGCTGTGAGCTCCAAGACAAGGTTAGCTGTTTGATCGCCGATTGTGTGCTATCAGAAAAAACAATGTCACTTCTTGACCACATCCCATCAAAGCCAGAGGATTACTAACCACTGTTTTGATGTCAAATATATAGCATAAGAGCTACCATTTAATTTCAGAGGGTTACAGCTGCCTCCCAGGAACTGCGCTAGATGAACTTGTCTGCACGGGGTATCCAATGTGGAGCTTAATAATGAAAACGCTTCAGGAAAAAACTAAAACAAGCTGAAACCTCTAAAATTAGTTCTCACCTCTAATCATACACATAAAGTGCATCATCAATGTAAGGATATCTGATACCAATTTGTATGGCAAATTTCCCTCAACAATGCATCAAACATAAACGTAGGCCAGTAGTCAGTCACGGGTGCAAAGACAGCTGGAGTTTTTTTCTCATTTTCTCTTTAAGGGAAGCAGTCCTTTGAAATAGTTAATGTAACTGTTGCTGCCACATAATCATCTACATAATGACAGCAGCACTTCTAGCTTCATGTACTAACCTGGACTTCTGACCAAGATTAGCCCAGCAAAGGGAGTTACCACGTCAGCCTAAATCTCTTTGGAGTCTGCTCTAGTGTGGCACCCTTCCTTCTCCTCCTTTAGCATTGAAGACAACAGATCGAGTTGGCAGATATTATTTATGGAAGCTTGAGGTTGTTTTGATCAGTTCAATCTGTTTTATTGAAGTCTTGTTAACAGGAATAGGATGTGCAGGGAGAGCAGGGGTATTGGAAAGGTTGCTACTGGATGTCTCCTGCCAGGCCAACAGCGAAGCTGCCGTCTGAATACTCCGATGGAGGGTACTGTCTCTTCACAAGATCGCTCCTCTTCTATCTCAGCGTCCTCGGTGCTTCCGTCTCTGTGCGGTGAGAACGTCCTCTAGACTCCTACTATGGGGTTAGCTATGTTTGTGGCCGTGGCCCCGGAAGGCCTGGGCGGGTGGTTTACCAGAAGTGTGGAAGAAACAAGTCTAGTGATCGTGGGCTTTGGAGGCGGAGAAATGGCTACCTGTGGGGCAGTCGGAGGAATGCTCTCACTCACACCCCCCGAGCTCTCGCTGGGGTTCGCCTGCTGCAAGGTGACCTCAGTAACCTGTACGCTGGTCGCAGACGCCGCCATTACAGCCAGAGCAGGGCTGTGTCTGCCCTGAGAGGCACCGGTCACCGGGCCAGTCTTCACCGTGCTGGTAGGCGAAGGCACAGACACGCTGCTCTCACTGTCTGCGGACGAGTCGAGACTGCTGTCATTCAGAGCTGTCAATCGGACATCTTCCATCGAATGCGTTTTATTCTTCTGCAGCACGTGATTAGGCAGCAGTTGGTGAAGCTCCTTTCTTCTTAAATGCATTGCATCGATTTTCATATCCATCTCAAACATCTTACTATTTATTGCTTGCCTATAAACTGTGTCTGTGAAAGACTGGATGTCATAGGTGAGGTCAATACTGAGAACTTCAGAATTTTCTGGCTTTTTTAACACTAACCCAATCACCCACATGGTGCAAAACTCTTCCTTGTCGGGGTTCTCTTTGGGCGCGGGGAATGACTGAGGGTTCACGTGAGCCAGTGTAATGAACTCGTTCTTCTCCAAGCTTCCCACCAGGATTCGGATTTTTGATTCTACCAAGCCCACCCACTCCAGCCGCTGCTTTTCTGTTGGTGCGCTTGCCAGAAGGACAATGTAATGCTTATACTTTTGAAAGAAGCTTGGAGCTTCAAAAAGTTTGGACCACTCTGCCTTACTCAGCAGAATCTCATGTGTGATAGCGAGGCCCTGCTTAAACTCCTCGATCATGACCATCCTTGTGGAGACAGACACGTTGTACGTGGAGTTCTGTTGCGGGTATGCCGGCGTGATGATAGGCATGAGGTGGTACCTGTCGCTGGGGTTCACTCTCGGGTCCCATACAGGCAAGTTAAGGTTTTGTTCTTCGGGCTCCTTCAGGAGCACCGGGTTTGGCCACTCCCACTCAGAAAACACTAAGAAAAACTTACGCACAAGAGTTGACGCCACCGCGTTTGGATAAAGCTGGCAAGTTCTTGCCACCAGCATGGCCCAGGAAACGCCTCCCAGGAAGCCCAGTATATTGGAGTAGATGTTGTGGCATTTCGCCCACAGTTTGATAGCTCTGAGCGTTAACCTGAAGTTGTCAATGTTTGGTACTAGATGTAAGATTTCATCGGTTACCCGGCAACCATTAAGGCTTCTTATGCATCTAATATCTAAATTTTTAAGCAGACTGTCATCTCTTAGGTCCAGATCTTCTGGAATAGTCTGCAATGCTAATCTTGCAAACAAAATATCAATCTCTATCCCATCAAAACACAGTCTGATAACTGGCACAAATGCCTCCTCAACAGCCCTTAAGTCTTTTACTTCTTCGTGTAGTTTCAACTTAGCATAGAAAGAAGTGAAGAAGTCACTTCGGTCGACGTGTCTTGGTGCAACGCACAGCGCGTCTATGTCGGCCCCTTTCGTGTGCACCCCCAATCTGTACGAGCCGAATGTAAAGATTTTGCCTCCAACGTTTTCAATTATAGCGGGTGGAAGACTTTTGCTTTCACTGATTTCTCTTATCCATTCCTTTACCAGATTATTTAATTTTTCCAAAATTAAAATCCTGCGCTGCAGTTCCTCTTCCTCTTCCAAAACCCCAAAGGGCTTCAGGGTTTCAATTAATTTCTGGGTAAGTATGCAGTCTGTCTCCTTGGGGGCGGCTAAACTGATGGGGGAGGAGATGCCATAGAGCTTGGGTGGCGGCGGGGTCCGCTGTGATCCCAGGGTTGTCACCGGAAACGGCATCATCTCTAGCGCTGGCCCGGCCACGCCACGTTCCCCGCCACCGCGACCGCCGTGGCCGCTGCCCGGGTCATGATCCGCTGAGGCGGGAGGGGCGGGGCTCCTACCAGCCCAGGTCTGACCCGCTCCCGCTCCGCTCCCGCCGCTTCAAGCGTCTCTCCGCTATCCCCTGGGCCCCAACATGGCGCCCGGGCCCTCCACCCGCCGCGCCGTTCTAGAACTGCCACACGCCGCGTATGCCAGGGCGCATGCGTGCCGCGCAGAGCCTCACGGGAGTTGTAGTTTCCAGGGGTCCGCGGTGGAATTCAGGCTTCACGCTTGGGGGGGGGGGGGGCGCGCTCGGTTTTTGGCTTTTTTACTATTTTCTACGTTTGCCCTGACCTACCATCTATTGCCTTGCTCACCATTTCTTAGACCTCAGATCTACTTCCTCCGTCTCGGAGGCCCAACAAGCCACCGGGAAAGGCATGCCCCCTCACCCTTCTCAGGACACTGGCGTCCGCGGCTCCCCCAGGAGTGCCTGGGGCGGGGGGGGGGGCGGGTAGCATGGCCCCAGGCGCGGCCTGGGAGGGCTGACAGCTCATCGAAACCCGCGGCTCCCAGTCCAGGGCCAGGCCCCGGGTCGCTGCCCATAGACACTGTGGGTTGCCACAGGGGTAGGCGTGCAGCCGGCTTAGGGAGAGGCGGGAGGTGCTGCTAGACGCCCTCCATGCCTGAGACCTGGCGCCCACACTGTCAGCGGGCGCTCCCCGCCCTGGAAACACAAACAGCCTGGCTGCCCTGCAGGCCGCTGGCGGAAACCACAGGGCCCGGCCCGCACCCCTGGGGGCTGATGGCCTCTATCACAGGAGCCGAGCCCCACCGCCTCCGGGGCTGCTGGGGAGCCGCTCGCAGCCCCCTCACCCCCCACGCCACGGCACCCCCAGAACTGACACACACTGGATGCTCTGGACACCGGGAAGCGCTGTGAAAGGCGGCGTTTAAGGACAGCACACAGCACAGCGCCTGAACGGGACACCAGCCCACTGGGGGTGGGGAGTGGATTCTGCTTCCCCTCCACTGTTTGGCACACCCGCTTTCCCACGTGACTTCCCGGGGAGCCAGACCGCGTGCAGGAGACGGGATGCAGGGGCCTCCCCCTCTCTCTCTCTCTCTCTCTCTCTCTCTCTCTCTCACACACACACACACACACACACACACACACACACGCACGCACAGGCAGTCCCTCCCTTTCCACCACTGCTCACTGGGGAACTCGCCGGCAGGTGGGAGAAGTGGGGCAAAGGCCCCTCCCAGGGCAGACGGACCAGCCCAGATCCTTTCTCATCAAACGTAGCCCAGTTTCCAGCCCTGGGCCGACACCCTTTCATTCCTCACTCCACTCACAGTGGCTTTGGGTGTTTTGTCTTGTTATCAATTTTAGAGAGGAAGAGGGAAGAGAGCCAGAGACAGACACTGACTTGTTGTCCCACTTATCTGTGCATTCATTGGTTGATTCTTGTATGTTCCCTGACCCAGGATCGAACCCACAACCTTGGGGTATGTATGGGGTAATGCTCTAACCCAGTGGTCGGCAAACTGCGGCTCTGGAGCCGCATGCCCCTCTCAAGGCACGGTTTGCCGCTCTGTTGACTAATGAGTTTGTCAACCTCTGACCTAGACTCTCGATTCCAATAATTACAGGCGGTTGTTGTTCCTTGTGATTAAGCCCCTATCCCAGGGATCGGCAAACTTATAAGTCAACAGAGCGGCAAGCCGCGGCTCCTGAGCGGCACATGGCTCGAGAGCCGCAGTTTGCCGACCCCTGCTCTAACCAACTGAGCTGCCCGCCAGGCCCACTTCCCAGTGGCTCTGAGTCTCTCTGTGGTTCCCACTGCAGGTGCGGATGCAGGGGCCCCGGGCCACTCAGCTGCACCGATGGGTCTCGGGAAGGGGCTGGGTCACGCCTCGCTCCCTCGGGGCCAGAGGACAGTGAGCAGACTCCACAGGGTGGTGAAGGGCTGCTGGCGGCACCTGCGAGGCCGCAGAAGCTGCAGCATCCCTGCACAGGGAGCCGTTCAGAGTGTATGTGCCACGCGTGCACATGTGTGAGCGCACACACAGTCCTGTGTCCACGTAGCCATGCAGCACGGGGATAGCCAAACGAAGACGCTCACTCAAAGGTCTGACCCTGGTCAAGTGTGGGCAGGGTCTGTCCCAGGCCGCCGTCCTGGCCGGCCCTCCCATCTTTCTAAGGACGCCATCCCCATGGCCACGCTGTCTTTACTGCCACCGGCAATGGGGGTGGCAAGGTCAGGAGGCACTGACTGCCCAGACCACACCCCGAGTGGAAGACCAGCAAGGAAGGCCGCCTCCCTGGGGTCTGAAGGCCTGCACCGGGCCGGTAACACAACCCGCTTCCGCAGAGAAGTGTGTCAGTGAGACCGGCCGGCTCAATGGGCTCTTTATTTGAAAGGTTCTGCAGAGCCACCACCACGCTGAATAGGCTGTGGGCAGCAGCCTCGGACAGGAACGGGTCCGAGGGGCAGTGCGCGAAGATCAAGGCCGCCCTGCAGGTGTTGTCCGCCCCGGGCCCACCAGGAACACAGGAAAGCTGCGACACAGAGCAGCTTTCCCACACCGACCACAGGGCCTGGGGCCGTGACCTTCAGGACAGGCCGAGCTGGCTGCGTCCACACGCTCCTCGCAGTGGGAAAACACCGCGGGACAGCGCCTGGAGCGGAACCTGGCCCCGCACCCACCCCCAGCCTGGCCTCCTGGACGTCTTCTAGGAGGAGGGTCAGGATGAGACGTAAACCCAGGACGCCCGGCCATGGGGGTGGCCATCAGGGGCTGTCTGAGGCTTAAGACCTAAACGACCATCACATCCTCCACGTTGGCCTCTATGTGTGGCCTCCCTTGCGGAACCCTGCGCATCAGTGGTAAAGGCCTGCGCCCGTCCGAGGCCCTCCCCACCCGTCTGGGCAGCCCGGCCCGTGAGCCCGGAGCACCCTGCTCGCAGGGGCAGGAAGTGTTAACAGCAGCGACGACACCACACCACGGGCACTTCCCGAGGCCGGGCTCAGGGCTGTACGCACATCACTTCCGAACCCGTTCTCCAGGTCAGAAAACTGAGGCCCACAGAGGTGAAGCGATTTGCCTAGGGCAGTGGTCGGCAAGCTCATTAGTCAGCAGAGCCAATATCAACAGGACAACGATCGAAATTTCTTTTGAGAGACACATTTTTTAAACTTAAACTTCTGATGCCACTTCTTCCACATACTCGCCCAGGCTGTTGTGTTTTGTGGAAGAGCCACACTCAAGGGGCCAAAGAGCCACCTGTGGCTCTCGAGCTGCAGTTTGCCGACCACTGGCTTAAGGTAACAGCTCCCCTACACCACTCAGCGCTCCGCAGGCCCTGCACATAGACAGCTGCGCTCTCCAAGCCACCACCGCGAAGCCCGCAGCACGCAACAGAGGTCCGACGGTCCCGTCAGCAAACACGCCTGCCCCCAGGCCGCACCCCGGCCTCCACCTGCCCTCCCGGAGCGGCTCACCTGCCGTCACGGTGTCCACGTCCTGGGCCGCCAGCTCCTCCACGTCGGCCCTCCTCCTCAGCTCAAACCGCCGGGACAAGCCCTCGCGCGGCTTCCACAGCTCCTGCACCAGCAGCGGCTTCTCGTTGTCCCCGAACACCCGCACGCACTGCGCCTGCCACGGCCGCTCCGCGTCGCCGGCCTGGCCCACCACGTCGCACAGCACGTACTGGCCGGCGCCGTCCGGGCTCAGGGAGTAGCGCTCCAGCGCCTCCCGCACCAGCTCGCGGGCGCTGGAGCGGCAGGTGGCCAGCACGCTCTTGTAGTGGGCGCCCGTGCACACGCTGTCCCCGAACACCTTGAGCACCCCGGGGGCCGACAGCCGCGTGGAGAGCTCCGCCGGGTCGTCGCTGGCGCCCAGCTCGGCAAAGGTGGCGTCCAGGTCGCGGTACTTGTAGCTCAGCGTGCGGGACAGCACGCTCGACAGCAGCTGGCCCTGCCGCTTCAGCTTGTTCTTGGCGGGCGGAGACATGATAAAGTGGGTCCCATAGAACATGGTGGGCCCGTCTTCACGGGCGAGGCTGCGCTCACAGCGCAGGGGGGGCTCCGCGTCCTGGAGAAGACAGGGAGGTCAGCATCGGCCAAAGGGGCAGCGAAGGCAAGCGAGGCCCCGTGAGCTGAACAGACACGACAGCCACCTGAGCCACGTGCCCGCAGTGGCGGCCTGGGGAAAGCACGCATGTGATGTGCAGGCACCCTGCAGGGAGAACTCCGCCAGGAGGCACGGCGCCGCCACGGAGAGGAGGCCACGCCCTGCTGCGTGGTCCTCGCGGGGCAGCCGGGACACAGCCGTGCCGTGGCCATGTGTGTGCAGGGCCATGGCCTGTCTCCCTAAGTGCCCCCGCCCACCACATGGCGGTGCAGAGCACGGGAGTGGGAACTGCCTGGCCTCCCTCTCCCACACCACAGCCTGGGACAGAGTGGGCAGGGAAAGCAGGCCTGGCACGGAGCGGGGGGGCCTGGGACGGAGCAGGACAGGGAAGCGGGCCTGGGACAGAGTGGGGGGAGAGGGGAGGGAGCGGGCCTGGGACGGCTGCACTGGGATGTCCGTGTGACCCCGAGACACAGAAGGGCTCTCCAGCACCAGAGGCATGCTGGGAATGCAGGCAATCCTCCCACCGCGTCCGCCTGGTGCTCGGCCCCGGCCAGGCCACAGCTGCCCTTGGAGGGGTCAGTGCACACTCCTGGGAGCTCTGGTGTGACAGCCGGCCATCAGTCCAGTGCACCCAGTGTCATCCCAGTGCACCCAGTGCTCCAGCTGACATCTCAGTGCTCCCAGTGCTCCCAGCTGTCAGCCCAGTGCTCCCAGCCATCAGCCCAGTGAACCCAGTATTCCCAGCCGTCAGCCCAGTGCTCCCAGTGCTCAAGCTGTCATCCCAGGGCTCCCAGCCATCAGCCCACTTCTCCCAGTCATCAGCCCAGTGCTCCCAGCCATCAGCCCAGTGCTCCCAGTGTCATCCCAGTGCTCCCAGCCATCAGCCCAGAGCTCCCAGTATCAGCCCAGTGCTCCCAGTGTCATCCCAATGCTCCCAGCTGTCAGCCCAGTGCTCCCAGTGCTCCCAGGTGTCGTCAGCCCAGTGCACCCAGTGCTCCCAGCCGTCATCCCAGTGCTCCCAGCCGTCATCCCAGTGCTCCCAGCCATCAGCCCAGAACTCCCAGCGTCACCCTAGTGCTCCCAGCATTCCTAGTGCTCCCAGTGCTCCAGCCGTCAGCCCGGTGCTCACAGTGCTCCCAGGGCTGGCTCTAAGAGTGCCCGGGGCTCGCCGGGGCCCTGGGAGCAGGGGGTGGCTGAGGGCATCTCCACACACAAACACGAAGCTCAGCACCACATCAGCGAGGACGGGCCCACTTCCGTGCTCATGCCCTCACCAGAGACAAGAACAGGCAGGCCAGAGAAGCTCATTTTCTAGAAGCTTCTAGAAACAGTGTCCAGGTCCCAGTAAGGACCTGGTGGCATTGGGCACCTGTGACAAATGGCAAGCGCTAAACTCAGCGGAAGCCGAAGCCCTCAGTCCTGCTCCCTCCCGGCTCCAGGGGCGGTGGGAGAGCTGGGGCACCCACCCGCAGCCGCGGCTCCCTCACGGTGGCGCCTGCCCTGGGGTCACGCGTCACGGCCCGAGGCTCTCTAGGCCTCACGTGAGGAGGCCACACGGAGGAGGACGCTGAGGCTTCGCTTCTCCCCAGGAGCGAGGTGGTGTGGCTGGTCCCGCCAGCCCCCAGGGAGCCCGCTGGCCATGG